ATATAACTGCAGATAAAAAGAGAAGTGACCGTCCTAGACAACCCTGCTTCCAACAGAGAGAAGGATCAGAACAGAACCATGATGGAAAAGGTGAAAAATACAAAATAGAGCAAAAGAAAAAGGAGACAAGAAAAGAAGGCAAGAGAAGAAGAAAAGAACATCAAAATGCTGTACACTGGAGAACAAAAATCCAGCTGGGTCACTATGGAGTAAACTCAGCAAAGAGGCACCACGTAGGAGACCCTAAAACATCTAAGTTATGATAAACAGCAAAAACACCCACTATATCATGGGTAGCCTAAGGGGGATGCGAGGGGGCCCAAACGGAGGAAACAGCCATACCTCAAGCACCAAACCACCAGCCCATAGCTATCAATAAAAGAAGGTGAAAAGGATATCCCCAGTGGTATCATGAGAACGAAGAACGTCCAATAAAGGCTTCACAGCTCTGTGCATTTGAAGGGTGCATCTGGAAAGATCCAAGAGAAGCAGGATCGGGACACTATTAAACTCAATTTCATCAGTCGCACTTGTGGCAGCCATGACAGCTTCTTTTACGAAGTAGAAATGGATGAGACATTTGATGTCCCTCAGATGATTAGAATCAGTCGAACGAAGACCTAGAGTATGATGGGCCCGGTCAATTTCAAGCTCAGCATCTTTATCCTTTCGCAAAAGCTGATTAAAGACGGTATAAGATCCTTAGATTCAAGCAATTCGGGAACACCACAAATTCTAATATTATTACGCCTCAAGCGATTTTCTTGGTCATCAAGATGGTAGATCAGGTCATGGATCTGTGCAGTGTGATCCTGTAAAACCTTGTGATGGGTTTCTAAGTGAGAGCACAATGATTCCTGAGAAGTTTCCATGTGATCCAGGCAATTGTCTGTATGAGCAACCTCTGCATAGGCCAGCCATCTCAGATCTATAAGCCTCCTCCATGCGGGAAACATATCGCACAAAATCTGCCTTCGATGGGAGGCAGCGAAGGCATGCCTTTTAAATCCGCATCCTCACCTCCCCGGTCTGATTCAGGGAGCGGGTGCTATGACCATCTGGCTCCGGCGTCAGCGAAGGAGAGGAAGGCAGGTCTACGAAGGCACAGAGGGCGCAGGTAGGGATTCAGGCACCATGTCAGAGAAGGCCGCAGGGATGCCCGGAGAGTGCTGTGATGGGCATTCCCCCCCCCCCCCATTTAAAAAATTTTTATCCTAAAAACCCCCAAAA